CGAGTGGGCGCATGCATAGTCGGTCGTCCGACAGCAACGATCGTAACTGTCGCACAGCATTAGATGCGTATCGATCGTCAGACTTGCCTGAGTATTCGACGATCGATACGTATCTAACGCTGTGCGACAGTTACGATCGTTGCTGTCGGACGACCGACTATGCATGCGCCCAGTGGAAGCTTCTCCTTTCATTTTCCTAACATGATCACACATGTAGCCAACAGGTTTGTACGTGAACTTCCAGGATTCATCTTGCTTTCACAATGGTATTGAAATTCAGACGATCTGCGGCTAGCCACTCATCGATGACGTCCGCCCGTGGGCGGCGGCGACGCGCTCGGACGAGTTGCGACCAGACGCCGCCCCGCTGGTGGGTTTTTGTCAGCGAATTTGCTTGAATCGTGGAAGTGTTCGATATGCTGGAAATTCTTTGATATGTGATCTGCATCTTATCAGCGGCTACTTCAGTAAGGTGATAGACTTATTTTCATCGTTTTATTATGCTTTTTTTATCGATATTAGTGGATTTTTTGGTTCCTAAAATGAGAGCTCTCTACACGGTGGTCATTCGCTTTTAGATACTCAGTGTGCCTCTTTCTTACAAACAGCTTTTGCATGATCTATTCAGCTTCGAAACAGATTGAAGTTATGAAAGTTAATTGGATTTACGGAAAGCGTTATTATTTTTTTGATGACACGGTCTGTACCTGATCGTTAGTCATGTTCATGTATGTTGGCCTTTCTCTTTGAAATTCTCGATGAGGACTCTTCTAATATAAGATTTATTGGTTAGCTTTCGCTGTAATAACAGCTTCTTCAGACCTACAAGAAACATCAGGTATATTACAATACTTCAAATATAAGAAACATCAACATAACAACATCAAACTGACCAGGCCGATGCTCTCGTTAATGGGGTATTCTGCAAGGCAATAATTCATTACCTGACAGAATGCGTTATTACAGTGAAACTAGCCAAACTGAACCTTAATATAAGAGAGTTCTTTATCGAGAAATTTCAAAGAGAAGATATACCGATTTATGAGGCTCCGAGATAGCAATAATATCTTATGGTGCCCGGGGGTGGTCCACTTCAAGAATATTTGTTTGACCAAAAGCTCCTATTCTTGCTTTTTTACTCACTTCTTGTTACATCAGAGATTGCTGACTTTGCATAATTCCGATCAGTCAAAAATCTGCGATCAAGGTGCTGACGTTTCAATCGCTTGCACCTCAGTTACTCACCGCACATCCCACTAAATCAGGGGGTTCAGAGTCCAGCAATGATATATTCCCATACAACGACTGCTTGAGAAAACAAGCCAACTGTGGTCCTTTGCAGCACAGAATTTTTTAGTCGTCCTCATACAACTGCTACTTGCAATCGTCATTGTTACAAGACCCATTACTATCCATTTTAGCTGTTTTTGCAACATGTACCTGACATTTGAAGAAGAGGGCAGGGATGGGTTGTTTTTGATAAGGGTCAACCTTGTTGTACCGCGGCGATCTGTGATTTCGGCAGTTTTCGTAAAATAAAAGGAATCTACTAACGACAGTATGAAAGTATTACAACAAACATGACACCATCCTTTTGAAATTTACACCACATATCTGAAAATGGCTTTGTCATCATCTCAACGCCACGTAAAGATGTTTCAAAGTCTTCTTTTACAGTTTCTTTCTCAATCCCATCCTCCCCTCCATCAAATTGAGGCAGCGATGCGTGTTATTGAAGCGTTTGCCATTTCTCTTGATTCTGTTCTATTAAGCTGTCGGAAATTGATGGGCCTCTTCGCGCCTCCACCAAATTTTCTGCATTTCCCTCACTTCCCTTGCATTTAAATGACTTTTGCTAAGACAGTAAGTATTGATTTTTGCAATTTCCATCATTTTGTCCACTATTGTAATTTTTACTTGGAACTTTCATTGATTCAGCTGTGGCTGTTGCCCACAGCACCTGACAAATTCGCGCTTCGCCATTCAGCGGCCAGACACACAGTGCCATTCGATGTGTCCGTACCTATTCCGGGCTCCAAACAAGGAAACTTAGGGACCCCTTGGGTTGATGGATTATTTGCATTTGTAGGCTGCGCCCGTACGCTTTTTGTTGAGTGCATGACTTAACAGCAGTTTCTGCTTGATTGATAGACACGTTAGGTCTTCCCATGAGATACTTTGAACAGGCTTCCAGCATTATTGTCCATCCTTGTGAAGCTACATTTCTATAAAATGTGCCATTTATTTTTTGAAGTGAATCTATATAAGTGGCTTCACAGCACTGTGGTGTTGGTCTTCACCTGGGGTCTATGCAACACTTCCTTGGCGTGGTGGGCGCTCATCCTCTATGTCCCCAATCCGGTTACGAAAATGCGACTCCTGAGGTGATTTCCTGCAAACTCATGGCTTGTATTTTGGCTGCTGTACAATTATAATTTTTGCTTAGCTTTCGCATTTTTTTTGACTTTGAGCCCTCGCAGACGAAAAAAAATCCCTCCTCGTGCGAAAAGCGTAAGAAGTTTTTTCTGTCTTAGCGAACCACACTCCGTGCAGGACACCCAAGGCATTCAAACCTTAACAAGCATTTTCTTCAGTATATAAGCGTTTCGATAAGCAAACATAGCTTCCTGTTCGCGCAGTGACGTTGGTTCACCCACCCTCACTTGCTTCCCTCTGCAATAATTAGAATTACTCTAAGCGACACGAAGTATTGCACCAATGTTCCTTTTTCCTATTGCAACTTAGAATAGCCAATTCTTCTTATGTTTCGGAAGTGGCGAGAAGCTGTTCCCCTTTTCTCGAGAGCTCGCTTTCTCCTCTCTTTAGACGTGGTTCAGACCTTCATTTCAGATTGTCGCTACATTAGATGTATCATTTTTTCTTGCATGAACCCGTCCTCCTCTGACCCCTAATTCGTCAGCTGTTATCAAGGTGACATTATTAGTTTGTAACCACATACTATCATTCCTGGTGAAATTTTCCTGTGACCTTTTTGTGGCACTAAATATTACGCATAGTAGCGATAAATGAACAGGAAGGATGTGAGTATCGCTTTTTCTCTATGGTGGTGGAGTTGCGTGCCCTGTTTGAAGCCCTCGTAACTTGTTATTCTCAAAAAATATTTTTTTTTGGGGGGGGGGGGCAAAGAAGAGTACCGGTGACCTGTGTGAAAGGTGACCGGTGTCCATTATTTGACATTACATGACCCAGGAAGTTTCATGGAATTACTAAAAAAGAAGGAACAGTGCAGGGTTAGGCTAGAACGGTCAAAATGCTCAAGGTCGTTGATGCGTGGGTAACTTATCCCCTTCCCACGAAATACAACCACGTCTCATTCGTTCAACGTTGTGCGTTGAACGTTGTTCAACGTTGAGGTACCAGCATTAGCGGTTCTGATGTGAATGTCTATGAGAGAAGTTCGCTATGTTCACTCCCTGCGTGATGCTGAAAAGGCTAAGACGGCTTCGTGCTGGGCCCAAATATACTCGGGGTTCCTTTTTCATAGAGCTGCTTCAATCGATCATTGTTATAGGGAGATCGGTAAGCAACGGAGATTAGCGCGAGATTACATCTGTAAGTATAACATAGCTGAGAACGAGTGTTACTCCGTGAGTGCCAAAGTCGGTGGCTGAGCAGTTTGGCCGCTAATTCAAATTTCACGAGAGTTATTACATCTACTACTAAAGGTGTTTATTGTATAATTCTAATGGCAACTTATTTTTTTCATTTTTTTCCCGTTTATGAATCATTAATGAGAGTATGAGGTCCATTTTGTCATAATATAAATTTTAGTTGATCATACTGTGACGTTTTTGAGCAAATGAGCGACTTGGAAAAATTTGTGATAGGATTTGTCCACTAGTGTGTCACTCCTCAGAACACGTTTTTTCGGAGACGCTGCTGATTAATGCTTTTAGATCGCGGCGTGAAGAACGATCCCAATCGAAACGGATCGATATCCTCGGTCGTTCCTCAGGGTCTACCAAGCAGTAGCAGAATGACAGCGTCATCATTAGAAGTGTGTTTCTTATTGTTGAGTTTCGTTGATATTAATATTAATTTTACTGGTTATTTTATATGCCCCTTATCAATACCTACGTCCATTTCTTTTCGAATTTTTGAAATCCAAATCTCATTTCCATGTATGTTATCAGTGAAACTTTCACCACGTTAAGTGAAGACGTCGTAGGTCTTGTTCAAGCCGTCGAACGTTCACATTCTCTCTTTTAAAATGCTTCTTTTTTTCTTCCAGGGATTATCTCTGCAACGGCCTTTTCCAACGTATATTTGCAGTTTTGGTTCAATTGGGTTTCTTTTGGGTCTTCTGCTAGTAAATACAGAGCTAAAACAGCTAAGTGTTGTACCCAGGAATGGCAGGCATCACATGGTTGAGCATTCAATGCATGGGCTCGGCAGTTGTATTAATCTTATTTCACCGGTTAGGCGTTAACTCTCCTTCGGTGTCTCAATGAATGCAACTATCCACAAGGGCTGCCAATGCGTTAAAGCTTTCTCGAAGTCGCGTTGAAGGAGTCAGGACCTGCGGTGGAATAGTGTGCTATTGTTTGATACCTTTCAATTGCCCTAGTCGATTATGAAACATTCGAAGACGCTCTAGGCCTAGACCCGAACCCACATTCATGGTTTTCGAACGGTGGACACATGGTGTAATAGTGCGAGCAATAACCAATAACCAATGATACGCTCCGGTATACTTGCATGGGTCAGGATCGCGCCCCGCTCCATGACTTAGCGTGTTGTAAACTTGCTTCTAGCTGTTCCTTCGAAACTTTATTCAAGAGCCGTATGGATATATCTTCATTTTATAGCTGTTAAGGGAAAAAGTTTCTCATTTGCTTTTTTTCGGATCCATCATTTCCCGTGGTTGGTGGCGATGTTCTATATTCCTTTTTAATTAAGTTCATTATGACTAACAATGCTTTTGCAAGCTCATGGTATCTTCCCGCGACAGCGGCTGTTTCCTGTTATGTTTTCATAGATCACTGGGAAACCTCCCGTCAGCTGTGGCTGAGCGATAGTAAATTTGTGTGTTCAGAATGATCTTGGTGTGGCGATCTTAACGAAGAACGAGTCAGCTGTGAAGACGTTGATCTATAATGGGGTGGATGTCAATCGCACGGACTCAGTCGGCAGTTTGCCATTACATTACGCCGCTTATGTTGGCGACACCACAATGATGATGATGCTTATCGGTAAGATTGAGACTCTTCATTTTTTGTTTTCACCAAAATTTAATTTCACTTTTTTGCAATCAGGCATTCAATTTTTTTGCGATTGGTTGTCGTTTATTTTTTTCAACCATTTTAAAGTACGTATGATCTCCATGTGACTATTAAATATAGCATAGCGTTGCCACACGGTGTTTCCAGATTCTGGCGCTGACTTGAATGCCCAGGACACACTAGGCCTTACTCCCCTGCATCGCGCCGTTGCCGCGTTACGTTATGATGTCGCAGAGCTTCTGATAAATAAAGGTACGTTTTCCATTTCGTTTATGCCGTTTACATTTTGCTTTTGGATTAGTGAGCTGTATGACGCAGCGGTCAAAGATTTTAATCCGTGATCAGCTGCTGCTTCGCTTATAAACGTGTGCTAGGATTTGTCTATAGCCAGCATCTGCTTTCTTAACGGGAGCATTCTGAAATTTTTCAACCCACCAAGAATACCATTTTGTATAAGAGCCGGCTACCGCATCTGAATGTTCTTACAATTTCGAATGAAATTCTGATTGGTAAGCATCCATGTAACTCCAATTAAAATAAACTTTAGCTCTGGCCGCTTTTTTTCTGCAGATGTATGAAGGTGGGCAAGTGGGTTATGAAGCTGTTTTTTGGATTCACTCAATGACTTTGTGGCGTTAGTTTTTTACTACCAATTCTCTGTGTGATTTCTTTGATTGGTGTACATGCTGCTCTCCTCTTGTCTACCTCAGACTTTGACGTTTTTTCTTTATCTCTGCTCTTGTCACACCTTCCAGTGTGCCAGTATAAAAGTAAATCGCGTATTTCTCCTTCCTCCGTTAGAAATAAACCCCGCCGCTGTAGAAGTGTCACCTGTTATATACTAACCTATTGATTGTTAGCTGTGTCGTCCTGGTGAAGACGCATGGTTTCTGGTATTTCCAACCTCTGTGCAAGTGGATAAACATCACATTCATCGTGAATAAAAGGAAATACACTCACGTTTTGATTATGTGAAGCACTGTTTTCGAAGTTGTGTTTTAGGCTGCGATACCACACTTGCATGTAAACTACTTCAAACTCCTCTTCATATATGCGCTATTCACAATGTGCCTAATGTTGCAGCATTATTATTACGCAATAGCGTACATTATGCTAGGTGTAGTAGTATCTGCTCTGTTTCTTTTTCGCACTATTTCTTTCCCAACGAATTTCAGGATATGCTGACTCCCTCATCGTTGGTGAGGATGCACTGCTTTTAAACATGCAGCTACCATGGTCACGTTGAGGTTGCTGAATTACTGCTGAAAGCTGGGATTAACATGGCTGCCGTGTGAGTGGGCGGTTTTCTAGACTTATTTTTTATTCGCTTGCAAGAAGCATTTACCTTTTGTTTTGCATTGAGCTTTTGAGCACCGTCTTGAATACCATGAAATTGAACCAATTTAGTGACAAATTGGGTCGTACTGCCATGCATTCGATGGCATGTGGAGGCAGCCTTGAGGAGTGTATTGTGGCGGTTAATTACGCGAAGCAGGCCATCTACGCGTCGATACCGAGTCGTGTACCTTTTCATGGACGAACGCTAGCCCAATTACTCTGCCATGCGAGCTCCAGGCAGACCTATTAGGTGGGCTTTTGGGATAGTATTCATTTTATGACTATTTATTTTCTTCATTTGTCTTACATTATCGTCGGAAATTTTCACATTCTGGGCAGCAGTAAGTACTCTCGTAGAATACCATTTCAGTAACTTTTTCGATTGAAATTTGGCATTTTTGAAACTCATTCTTTGACTGAGTAGGTCTTTGATTTGTGGTCTTTTAGGAGCTCTACTGAAGATCGATAAGAATTTCATTAATGCTAGGAGACAATGACGGGTATACACCTCTGCACTATGCGGTACAAAATGGTCAAAATGTGAAGACAATCGATCTGTGAGTGCAGGAATCGTTATTGTAAAAACGATGTTTCCGTCTGAAGTTCGGCCGACTATTTTTCGTCTTAGTTAGCGATCAATCAATCAGTCGCATCCTTGTATGACCACAAGGATGCGTGCCTGTGCGTCAAGCGTTCAGCTCGTAGAATCTTCTTTCAAAGTTGCTGTTACTATCGGGCAAGGTTCGTTCACGGTTCCGGGGTCCGGGATTAGAAGATTTAGTCAGTGAGACAACTGATGGTGAGCAATGAATAAAGAATCACCGAAATGATGCGAAAGAGCTGTCCGCATTCGAGTTCTGCAGAAGGCCAAGAGTCTGAGATGACGAGGAATGGCGTAGTTCTCGACAAAATGAACGTTTTGTATCCAGAGTTCTTTTTCCTGATTCCCAGGCGCGTTGTCCCAAATTGCTCCGAATGTCGCATTCTATCAATAAGTATCCAATTCTTCCCGTAGTTCCACCTTTTTTCGACTTCCGGATTCTTCTAATACACAGATTACCTAGTAAAAATTTAGTGCTCCATGCCTTTTCGCACTTTCAATTCGGCACATGGCCATGAAAGGAGGGAGCTGAAGTTTCCAGCAATTTCCTAGGTTTAATTAGGGTCGCTCTATTGGACAGGCTTAGTGCTGCAATAGCATAGTCACGGAATCGAGTCCTTTTTCAAGCTGAACGTTTTGCACATAACTCAGCATCCTAGGTCATCCAAGGTCAGAATCATCTATCGTATTTTCAGCCTCGTTCAAAGCGGTTGCGATGTTGCTGCGGCCGCATGTGATGGTACAACTCCATTACATGTGGCTGCTTCACTAGCAGAATCAGCAAAGCCGATAGAGTACTTGATAGGTGTAAGTTTAGCTTAAATTCGGCAGCTCTGCTCATTGTATGTAGCCATTTTTTCTACTTGTTTGCTAATCTACTGGTTAAAAGTTATAGTGTGAAGGCATTGATCTTAATGCGAGGAATGCAGATGGAATGACGCCGCTCCATTTGGCTAGTGAGTGGACAAAAGTGTCACGAGTAGACACTCTTATCAAAGGTTTGTCGTTTCTGCAAAATTTCAGTTTTGAATAGTATCTTGGAGAGTTAGCTGGAAACAGCGAGAAAGTCACTCCCCCTTCATCATATCCTGCTTGCGTTTCTGGTTTTCGCGGGTATGCCAGTTCCCTTTGCCTTGCAATATTCAGAGCACTCGCATAAGTTGCATAATGTTTTCGACATAGGAAGAGACACAATTTCCAAATGCAGTCAGTTGCATCCAAATCGTGCTATGAGTAGGAAACGGCTAGTTTTAAGCGAAACTGCCTTCTGTTGTTAGCAAAGAGTGCAAACTCTCCACATCGCCTTTCAAACGCTGTCACCTGTTTGCTTTGTTCATCAAATACACGGTATTCTTGGGTGGTCTCCATTCGCTGTCGCCCTTCGTGTTCGGCGGTACTTTTTGCTCCACATCTACTTTATCACATCTTGAAATTCCCAGCTGTGGATTCTAGGATCCACAGATGGAAATTGCTTTCCCCTGTTTTTATTTATGCCGTGAAGGCTACGAGAGGTGGAGCATTTCAAATGGAGCTTCTTTGTTTGAACCGTTGTTAACCTCCC